AAGGTTGGAATAAAAGTGAGACCATGTCCAGTGGAAACCTTTAATAATCACCACTGCTGCTGCTGCTACACATCTAATGAGCACAAGTCACATTAAAAGGCTGAATAAACACCAAGCTGGCCACAATTTAGCACGCTGAAATGAACAATAGCACCATGAGGGCTGACTAAAGCCACACAGAGAACACAAAAGACAACAAGTGGCCTTCGGACAGCCCGGCCGTACCCAGTGGACGACTGCTGGCAGAGCGACCGATGCGGCAAAGCCTTTAGATCACCGGACGGACACAGGTGACACTCGGTGAGTCAAAACCGGCCGAACTAAACGACGGCTGTGTAATTAGGGCGATACCACAAGAGAGAACAGGCACTTATCAGCTAAACTCCTGTTTGACTCGTGGCCGGCTGCACCTTCGCTTGCACGTCATTCACTTTCATCACATCCCCCCTACCTCCCCACCCGGCCGCCTGCGTTTTAGAAATATTCTGCAATTCATAAACAAAACACTTAATTAAGATAAGAACATACAGATTAATCAGCAGTGAATGCGTTCATTAGCTGCAGCTATAATTCTGACGAGCGCACAAAGACGCACATTGCACAGCGATAAGTGGATTCTGCAGTTTAACGCTTTCAAGGAGTTAGTTTACATTAAAAAAAAAAGCTATTTCAAATACATCCACTCAGCTGGTGCAACATATGGTGGAACACAAACGTCATGATGGAGGGGCGTAAACATGTGATGTGTCGGGTCGAAGAGGTCGTACGGATCGAGCGAAGGCGATATAAAACAACCATCATCGGGGCTATAAAACCTGCCCAGCTGCAGTCTTTGATCCCCTCCTCCAGCTCTCCCGCCTAATTCCAACACCTGCACACGCCGGCAGAGTCGGCTCGAACACGCCACGCCTGGCCACCCAGGGCTCGCACAGCCGCCCTCGTCTCCCCCCGTCAGCTGTGGGCACAAAGGCTTAACAGATCTGTTTGTCTCCAAAGTAATGGCTTCATTTTAATCAATGAGCAGTGACGTTACAGGAGCAGGACGGCGGTGGCGGCGGCGTCTTCGCTTTAGTCATCACTTGCGCTTATAGTTCACCTTTCAAAGTTAATGAAGGGAGAATTCATCAATAACATTCCAAGGACTAAACAGATGTGACTGCTTCCTGTCATTTACCCTTAAGGTCTGTAAACAGCAAACGTCATGATGTCGGTTCTCCAGGAAGCTTCCTGAAGCGACTGTCTGAAGCTGTCAGCGTAACCGAGGTTCATGATCAATTAGTTATTACATAATATAAGCATTATTCATCAGTCGATTATGTCATCAGTAAAAACACTGCACATCAGTTTTATGAAGCCTAAGGTGGAGTCCAAAGCCGTTTGAACCACAAAACCTCCGCGTTCCTAGAAACCACAGAGGTTCCTTATTCTATCTTTTAAATCAATACGTCGCTTGACAATTGACGAAGTGCTGAGCTGACTGATAGTCGCCGTTCTAACCCCATCCCGGCTGTGGCAAGAAGCCTGGAGCAGCAGAAAGAGGTTCATCTTGATGATTGCTTATTCGAGCTGATGTTCTTTATTCATTTTTCATTCCGCTTCTCATTTCAACACGACGCGAGCTTCCTGGAGCGGAGGAACAACTTGCACGTGTACAAAGCGGTTCTTCTCCGTCTTGATAACGGATACGTGGCTGTCTCGTGAGTTTGATTCTTCAGACTTGCTTTTTGGAGCCTGACGTGTGCACATCAGCTCACAGGTAATGGTGGAACTCCTCAACAACACAAGATGGCTGCCAAAGGAACACATAGTAGGTCAGGGCTGCCTTTATTTAGCAGCGTAGTGGATCAGAACTGGGTTATCTTAACCCACCTTTTGTCGAGCAGGAAAACACACGCCGAGTCAGGGATGCAACTTGCGAAGCAGCTTCAGCAAGAAGGACAATTTGAGTTTGAAGCCAGAACATCTGTTTTTACTTCAGACGTCAGGGAGCTCAACACTTTACTCAGCATTTATCCAGCTAACTTCATTAAGACTTCTCTATTATAATGCTTTTTTCCATCTTAGATGCTGTGTGGAGATCATCAATCTAGCTCTGGTCAGACACAATAGTCCATTTTCCCTCCCACAAAATATCGTAAAATGTTTTTAGGCAAGTCGCTGCGAGAAGCCAAACCGCACAGCACCTCGTCTCCAGGGCGCAGTTTTGGGTGTAATTTGCTTTGTCTGGGTTCCTCGCTGTCAACGGCCAATACATAGTTAAAGGATTTAAGTGCGTAGGATTACTCATTAGTCTTCATGCTGTGATTCAGAGCGCAAATAACATTCCTGGTCACGACCAGTCAGACCATGTGGTGCCGAGGTAACTTTGCTCCACGGAAAAGAAGCCAGTCGATGGATTTAAACATGAAGAGCCGCTTGTTCATTGTCTGCTGGGTTTTGTGTTTAACTGGTAAAACAAAGTAAATAAAAGTGCTCATGTAGCATGTAATCCATCCTTTATATCCTGCAGCCACATCGCCTGCAGCGTCACACCCTCTTATTGAACTGTTATACTGCGTTATGTAATCGGCATATTACAGCGTTACTGTTCAAATCCTCGACAACATTTAAGATACGAAGATCCTAAAATGTTTTTTAATGTGACTTGCAGAAAATGGCAGATCTGCAAATACAACATCTGATGGGTTTTACCATCAAAATACAAAAAAAGATTATTGGACGAATATTCTGATATTTTGCATGTTAATTTATAGAGTTAGAAAAAAAGAGTTAATAGTATAATTACAGTCTGATGTTTTTGTTGTTTCACTACAAAGAAAGAAAACGCTGATTAACTGCCAGAAATGTGGTAGAAAGCCAAAAAAAAAAGCACTTTTCTCACAGTAATACACTGCTGCTGTTGTTTTCAGTGAATTAGCCGTATTAGAAAGTGCATAAATAAGAGTTTAACATTTATGCACGATAATGGTTTGGCTTTTTTGAAAATTACCCAAGACAAAGAAGACGCTGTGCAAGAAACAAAAACAGAACAATAAGTCCTCCGTAGTCCCACCAAACATTAAAGTCACTTAACAAGCCTGTCTTGGAGGGAGGACCTGATGATGTGAAACTGGCTAATCAGGTTCCACGGAGCTCAAATGGGAACTCATAAAAGAGAAACGCGTCGCTGAAGCACGCAGGAAATCATTACCCGGTTTTCATATGCCACGTCTGCTTTTGTCTTACGAGCGCTGTCAGATGCTGATCATTGAAAGCTTTAAACAGAAGATGCACTTGTCTTTATTTCTTAGATCCTACAAAGTATTTTTGCGATTACAGAATATACAGAAAAACTATTAAAGTTGAACCTAAATCTGCAGTTTCATTCTTTATTTTTTGGGGGCTTTTACGCCAAAATTACTGATTACATTCTCATGTGAAAGGTTCACAATTTTCCTTTCTCCTTTTGTCCATCATTTACTTAATTGCTCGCTATGTGCTTCTTCTTGACTGTCAACACTAAAAGCACTCGGCGTTGCAATCAGAATCACGAGGCGTTTGTCTGGCCTTTCAATGATCTTAAAATCTGTTTCCAGCTTTGAAACATGACTGTCGGCTGCTGCAGCTTGTCAACAACAATCTTAAAATACAGAAATTTCGCGAGGAAGGTAGCAAACATGGAAAAAAAAACTACTGTTGTGGCATGCATGTTATAATCAGCGCTCTGGCAGAAGAAAACCCTCCTCCTGCCACAGCACAATGATCACAGTGAACGACACAGCAATAAAACCAAACTTCCTTTTCATGACAGTAAAGCACCGGCACTAGAACATGCCACATTACTCCCCGTAGTCGCACAATAGGCTGCAGAATGGAAACTCTGGCTTTTAATTTAGGTTTTCTAACTAATCACGGGAATATAATTTGAAACTATTAACGCTGCTTGAAAATTACAGAGATTTGTCTCTAGATAGAGATTTGGTGGAGAAGAGAAAACGTGCTTTCGCTGCACCGAGCTCGCAGACAGCTGAGCCCAGAGGAAACTCAAGATACAATGATTTTTTTTTTTTTTAAGGAAAAAGTCACGAGTAAGCATCAGTAAATCATTTTAAATCAGCACATCTGGGTTTTTGTAGAATAACAAAAGTCAAACACACACAAGGGCACGGCGTGGAACAGCTGCCAGCTCGCCTTCTCTTCTGCAGCGGCTCAGGTGACAGACGAGCTCCATGTTTGCATAGTCAAAACGTACCTGGTTTGGCTGCACTTGGCTAATCTCGACTGTTTCAACTCTTTCCTATCTAAACACAATAGAACTGCAAGAAATTAAGAGGCAAAAAAAACATGCAGCTCATTACTTACATGTCCGTGGTTGACGAAGCCATGTTTACTGGCGATTCGATTAGCCTCCTCCTGACCTCCAGGTATGTGGACAGCCCATGTGTTGGTGTAGACCTTCTGACCCAGCACCGGTGCTTCCAGCCCAGCGACCAGCAACACCAACAGAGGCCCAAAAAGCAACTCCAGCAGCCTGAGCCTGCGGCCTACGGAGGGAGATGGAGGGCCAGAAGCCATGGGTTCTCCTAGTGCAGCACAGTCACTGAGCACAGCGCCTCTCCGACGGCCCGGGGCTGCTCACTGTACATGCAGGTGCACGGAGAGACGAAGAAGGGGAGAGTCACAGCTCACCTGGAAGGAAACGAAAGAGGAAAAGAAAATGTTTGTGTTGCAGAAAAGTTTCAAAAAGACAGTTTTCACTCAAGAATAGTTTCCTGGGACGACCATACAGAGAGGATTTGGCATCCATGGGAAATCAAAACAAGGCAAGAGACTAGACAAAAGAACTACGAGCCCACTTCTGAGGTTCTCTTCTTGCTTTGTTTTGTGAAATAGGAAACAGGAACAGAAGTAATCTCAGTGTGGAAGTTTACAGATTTTCACGTGAAAGCAGAAGTGTTGCAATGAAGACAAAACACATTAAGTCTATTAATCTGCTTTGTTCATGAGCACGTAAAAACGAGAACAGCTCATCCGCCCCAACAATCAGTCTGAGCAGGCGTACTGCAGCCCGGCTAAGTACAGGCATCTGATAATCCCACAGGAAGCAGCGAGCAGGACGTCAAGGCCCCGACCTGATGTTGTGGTCGGGCGCAGAGCTGCAAATTTTGTCGTTTGCACTCCCACGGGAGGATAAAGCAGATAGAGCTTACGAAAGAAAAAAAAAACGCTTAGGTACACCGAGCGTGTAGCAGAGGTGGAGAAGTGTGGTCGGAAAGCTGGACTACGCCCTGGATGCTGAGGGATCACAGCGGAGTCGAGGTGAAGTAGCCACTCGAGGGGAGGAGGAGCACGAATGCCTGAGGCAGCAGTGGAAGCCACTGAAAGGCTGCGGCCAAGGACAGCGCCGAGAAAGTGTTGGAGGAAAAATATTTAATGGTGTAATGATTTCAGCGTTGCTTCTTTGTAGCGTGCTGACTGATGGCCGCGGTGCCAGGCAGCCGCAAGAAAACATCTAAAACACAGTCTTATGAATGAGGCAGAGCAATTTATCATATCACCGCCGTCGGAGCGAGCGGAGACACAGATCTTAGCTTGTGGTGTAATTGTTTGCTGATACAATTTTGCCTCTAAGCTGTTGTTTGGAGGCAGGAAGGTCAGCTGTGGCTGTAGGCTGTTGAGACCATTATCCCAAGTGTTAACTCTATTGTAATCCCAAGATGGCTAGACGGCACCCAGTCCAGCGCCTCTGTTCTGTGTTACCTACTGTATGCCGGCACAATTATTCCCCCCGGGACAGAGTTTCTCAAATTTTTTTTGCAGGTGTTTTAGCGTCCTATTTTCTGAGTTAACCACCCAATGAACTGCAGACTTAAATTTAGCTCACTGTGCCACAATCGAAACGAACAGACAAGCTGCTGGAGATTTCCCTGGACAGTGTTGTCAGGCGTGAACGATGTGTTTAGAGGTGCTACCGAGGCACGTCGCATTAAAACACCCCAACGATTCCAAACTAACTCGAGCCACTGGATGAAATCAAACATAAAGATGGACGTCGCTGCCTTTTAATGTTATTTAAATACAATACAAAACTGGAAATATACCTTTTTTTAAGATAAAGGCTTAGTAGATTCATGGGGAGACAATCCAAAGTTGTACATTTCTTCATATAAAACAGAATTTCTATTTCAGCAGGATCACTATTAACAAGCAAGATGAGATATTTAAGTGACTGCCAACCAGAAGCCTAAAACTGTGGTTGCTTTAAAACTTTTTGTTCATTAAATGGCCTTTACTCATGAGACAGGTTCAGTCAAAATGTGTTTCATTTCAGATATAATCTGACGTCATTATTTCTGCAGGCACTATAATCATATTACAGCAGCTCTATTCACTGTAACCTCGATATATGGCAAATAAACCTCTCCACACGAGCATCTCTTCGCCACTAAATTCTAATTCCGAGCGGATGTTCGAGTGCGACCTCAAGGCCAGTATCTGGGAACCTGCAATACATTCTCAAATACGCGTGTATAACATACAAAACAAACTGGGTTTCATTGAATTTGTTGTTTGTCCAGAACATTCAAACACACGTTTTGTTTCTCAGGGTTGTTGTCCTTGTGTTTTCTTAGACTGATTATTCATGTAGGTATCTTAAAAAATAAACCTTTTTATTAGTAGATCGCCAACAATTTGGTATAAAATGGTCACATCTGACCCGTTACTCAGAAATCTGAAGGAATCCTTTAATAATATCACTTCTTCTTTTGTGTACATTCTCCAAACATGGTTGCCATGTGTTGACATGCACCATCCCACCAGCTGGTTTGGGCAACTCCTTTATTGCAACATGCCCACCACATGTTAACAAACACAGCTACTGTTCATCCCCTCGCCCTCGTACAGTTGGCATTTATCTAATTTAATATTCGTTATCTGTACACGTTCAGCCCGGCTGCTATAAAAGAGGTTCTGTTGACTCAGTGACATGGCACGAGGTGAGGATGGATCATAACAGTAAATTGCACGGCGATATCGTGGTGAGCAATCTGAGCAAAGCGACAAATAAACATTTAAATTCCACATGCAGACGTGGTTCAGTGTGCTGTGAAGCTACAGGTAACCGTCATTAGCAGGCAAACAGGTCAGCCTGGCTGTGAGCCGGCGCGACAAGCTGCTAATCCACATCAGCGGTTCCAACAGAGCAGAGCTTCATTTCATAAATACCTTCACGGAGAAGACTATATATAAAAACGAGCTCCTCGTATATTAAAGCAGGCAGAACAAATCAGGTGTCACAAAAGTAAAACTGTCACACCGAAATCCCCTCCGCTGCCTTTTAACGCCTCCTTCCTGCTCAGTTAAGCCAATTTAACAAACATGAAAATCAGCCTAATTTAAGACAAAGAATCCAAACACCAATGTTAATTACATGTTTACTTTTTTTTTTTAATCGCCTTTTCAGTTTATGCTGAAATAGGCAAACAACGAAAGCTTCCTGCGTGTGGATTTTCCATCCATTCTAAAGGGCTCGCAAGTGGCAGCTTAACTCTGGCTACTTCAACCAATATTTGCCCAGGAATTTATCAGGCTTAAACAAATTAACATTTTAAAAGGCAGCAATCAGCGGGAAAGAAGCTGACAAGAGAGACAGCTGGAGAAAGAAAAAGCCACTCCTGGTGTAACTCACTCAACTTTGTCCTCTGTCCTTTGATGCAACAAGTAAACAGCGCGAACGTTCCCGAGGTTCTGTTTGATTTCCGGCCACACGCCGACTTTAAGCGCAGACGCCTGTGACCTCATCCGGCTGCTCGGCCACTCAGTTTCTTTAACGTCAGCTCAGAAAACACACACCTTGGCCCAACAGCCGGGCGACTACCTTACAGTTTGACAAAAGGTGAACCTGCGAGCGCTCCTTAATACAGTAAACGATGCCATATGTCAGGCTGCGATAACCGAGGTTATTACACTAAAAAACTGCACCATATTATAATTAGCTAAGTATCATTAAACCCAGAGGATATAATGCCGGCCTCATTACCGAACTCATCAGGACGATTTGAAAAGGAAACTGTTTACACCTCATCAGCTTATTGTTTACATTTTAATGAGATAAAAATGAACTCTAATGCATTTAGCGGGTATGACCTCTTTCGCACGAGCTCGAATACGTTATAATTACTTTCTCACATTGGAGTTACACGTGAAATCAATATTTCTGTGAACGCACACAAACACCCTCCAGCGAGAAAATAAGCTGCAGCAAAGTGATGAAATGACAATAATTACATGGGTAAGTCCATTCATGAATATGCCATGAGCAACACTCAAAAATTACACCGGTGGTCCTCTGCTAAATATTGCAAGATATTACAGGAGCGGTGAAATACTACCTGAGATCCTCACATCCAGAATATTATTCAGTGTGACACAGAGAGGCACTTTCATGGCAGCTTGGCAGCAGGAAGGTGTCTGCAGACTGCTCCCCATCTGCATAAGCCTTAATTCCTTCAGTTCAAAGTAACATCCCAGTAAACTATTATTCCATTGTCACTACAAAAACATCAACCTTTACTTCTTTTTCTTCTACTTGCCTCTGACGTTTAAATAAACAATATTTTTTGTGAATCTGCATCACGGCAAAGGGGACTTCTAAAAATATCAACGAGCAAATGTTTTGGGGCTTAAAATCGTTCCCCCCGTGTTGCCAGAAAATGAGAATTAGATCCAAAATGCAGCGAGAGAAAGAAGGCAGCATCTTGTTGTTTGTGTCAGTCTATATGCTGAAGAAAGCCTCCCAGATCTCGCTGCTGAACAACACACAAGAAAAACAGGATTCATGAATTTAAATAGCTGCAACTCGTCTGCCGGAGGACCTTGGAGGAGTTCTGCGTCTGAACTGGACGTACCTTTGGAGGACTGTGTGAAACCTCAGAGGCGGCACAACTCAAAGGCTTCATTCAAGATGTCAAATTTAAAAAAAAAACATCCATGTTAAACCACTTGAGCCATTGTTTGCCATCCATGAATAACAGCAGCAGGTTTTTTTTTTCTCTCCAGGGATTTTCACCATTTTTTCCCTTGAACACATCACCGCTTCTCAGCTTTACAAGTACAACACAATAACTCAACATGTCATCATCACTGCAGTGGTAAAGACACGACTTCCTTTGTTCAACAAACTATCATATCTTTTTACAAAAATCTGTATTTATTGTATTGAGGCTTAATGCCCCGGTTGGTCTCAGCTCGCCTAATTAGAGCGAAGAACAACAACAAAAACTCTGTTGTCTCTCTTTTTTTCCCCCCCTTTAGAACATTTGTTTTGCTTTTGCCATCTAACTACTTCTCCAGACTTCCTGCAGCACAGCAACACACCAACGGCAACACTTATAATTTTTCCTGCGATAACACAAAGTATGGATTCCCTTGCATGCTTTCTCTGACACGACAAGGACTCGAGACGTGTTGATTTACGGGTGCGTGCATGTAGCTGCATGCAAGAGGGGCTCCACAAGCTTGTTTTGGTGTTTACTCATAATGATCACCAGCAGCAGCAGCTCAATCAAAATTACACACAAGCACTCATGATGTCTCAACAACAGCTGAGCCTCAAAATGCTTCCCATAAAAGAAAAGTTTCCACAAATAAAATAGATTTTAAATGCAGACAAAGAGGAGGTTAATGACTTCACCTCAGGAGTGCCACATCTTCAGCAACACATGTCAAAGTTCACCTCAAAGGAATCCACAGTCTCCACGTCCACCTTCCTGTGAGCAGCAACAACAACAACAAGAAGAAGAAGAAGCCCCAGTTCCTCCTGATTAAACTGCAGCAGCGATCAGGACGGAGGAAAACTTCTCAGGCCTCAAACACTTTAATGTTTACGAGCTTAAAGTTTAAAGGCTTTTAACGTGAACAGCTGATAGCGGAGGAGGAGGAGGAGGAGGAGGAGGAGGAGAGCTCGGTCGGCTCACCTCACACGGTCCAGTCCAGTCCGTGACAACTCATAATGTGGCTCCGAAGCGGCGGCGGTGCTGGAGCTGATCCCCCGGTGATGACTCCTCCGCTTGACAAATATGTCTGAAACTGTACCCGCCGCGATTAACGCAAACTTGACGCCTCGGTAGGCTTTGACCTGCTCACAGGTTGCCTCCCCCTTTTTTTTTTTTTTCCTCTCTCCTTCCTCACATCTCAACCACACAAACACACAAACAGCCTCACATTACACTCCGACCGAGCAGCTTTTTCTTTTTTCTTCTTCTTCTTCTTCTTCTTTCCTGCTCCTCCACTCCGCAGGAACAACCACAGAAACCGGACGCGGCGCAGTCGACGTCAGCTCGGCATGTGTTGTGCGCGAGATCCCCCCCTCGGTCTCTCCCAACTGACAGCCACCGGGATCAATAGGACGACCGGCCCCGTCCTGCCCCGCTGGGGGTCCCGGTGGTACCGAACAAGTAGTAAAAAAAAAAAAAATAACACGAGTGGGAGCGGACGGGGAAACTTAGCAACGGCTCAACTTACCAGCTTCCTTTTTTACATCCTGCTCGACCCGGCCGCTTGTTGTCTCAACACCGCGGCGTTACAAACGACGACGGCGACCCGGAGAAACGAGTGAAAAATTGATAAGAGAGAATTGCTGGTTATAAATAGTCATGATACCCCTCCGGTGAACCGCTGAGTGGTCCGTACAAGCCCCAGGAAATGCGTCACGGCCGTGGATAAAGTGGGGACGTTAGAGCAACACCTACTTTAGCGAGCAGCGGCACGGCTGCACCCCCACCTGCCGGCCACGGGCGGCGGAGCAGCCTGCTCACGCGACGCCGAGGCTGCGGCCGGCAGCTGCCAAACAGCGTATTGATCGCCCAGCGCGGCGGATTTATTATAGGGGAAAGACACGGAAGAGATAGTCCGGAGAGCTGACCGCATGCCAATAAACGTCAGGCAGATGGAGAAAGTTGTTGTTGTGAGTACAGAGCCAGTAAATGAGCGGCTTTCTTAACCTTCACCTCTGGTCAGGCCAGAATGTACACACGGGCCGCTCAGTGTCCTCCATATAGTCCACCTACAGGACACGTTTGGCATCATTTGCACAAACCAGCCAACAGCCTGCTGATTCTCTGTCTTTCACACCCTTAGTATAGTGCTAATATAATATAATACCAGATGATCCCACCAGTTAACCTCTATATTGGTGAAGTTTGGGCTCCTCTTAGTAATTAAACTACACTAGATAGGACATCTCTGCATGTACCATTCATATTAACTGTGCAATAACTGCTTTTCTGTGTAATAACACACATATAACTCCAATATTATTTATTATACTGGATGCTTATATTTTATTTTCTAGTACAGTGTTCATTTTTAGATTGTATGCTTGCATTTTTTTGCAATTATCTTTATATTTTTCGGACATATCTTCATCCATCCATCATCTATACACCGCTTAATCCTCACTAGGGTCCTGGGGGGCTGGAGTCTATCCCAGCTGACTCAGGGTGAAGGCAGGTTCACCTGGACAGGTAACCAGTCTATCACAGGGCTACACTTAGAGACAGACAACCAATCACACTCACATTCACACCTGCGGACAATTTAGAATCACCAATTAACCTCAACATGTTTTTGGACCTTGTGGGAGGAAGCTGGAGAGAATAAACACTGGATGTGCGCGTCATAGTTGAAATAATCAGGGTTTACAGACACTGGAGGGCATATCCGCCTCCAGAATCAGGCTGCTCATCTCAATTTCGAGGCAGGGGTAAAAGGTCGGTTGCCTTCCCGCACAATTTACAACATCTTCCTCTTCTCAGATTCCTTGAGCGTAGTGCTGCCCAGCTGAGCAGAACATGCAAACTTCTAGATTCCACGCAGAAAAATCCCGGGCGTCCTAACCGGGATCTTCTAGCTGGAAGGCGACGGTGAGAACCACCGAGCCACCTTGCAGCCCACATATCTTTCTATTTATGTTTACCTTGTGTTTTTTCTTACATTTCCAAGACTTTGAAGGAAGCAACTGTAACATAAGCAACTTCTCATCAGGGATTAATATTTCTGACTCTGTTGTCCAAATAAAAACATCAACGAGTGCACGCAGGACACAATTAGACCGTTACACACTGATTGTTAACATAGAAAACAATCAAATCGAGCCCCTGCGACACTGAGATTTCCAGCATCACAGCTTCAAGAGTTAAACCCCACCATGGACGTCTCCTCTGTCAGCTGGTCCTGAAACTTACTGATCAGATAACACTGAACTCTAATCAACTTTAGACCAGAGCTGTTCTCTTCAACCAAATCATTGCATGAACAATAAATGCTTATCTGTGAGATTGGAGGAGGCAAAGTCAAATTCAAAACAACCCTCACTGCTATCTGGTACCAGATCATGAATGTAAATTGGCAGAATATCTATTTACTGTCAGAGATGCAAAGCAGAGAGAGATCCTGACCAAAACCAGACTCGGTGCAGACCACAGTCCAGCGGAAAGAACAAAACAAGAGTCCGTAGTCATTGCACAACAGATGAGGTGGAGACAGAGATGCATGACAATATATTTTAGGAATACTTTAAAAACTTAGAACTAGACAACAATGAAGCAACAGATTCTGTCCGTAGAGGGACATGAGGCAGGTTTGGGTCCACTTGTACCTTTAGAGTCACTGCAAATCAATACAAAGTTGTTATAAATAATCTCCTTTATCCTGTGATGGAGTGTTTTGTCTTGATGGGAGTGATGTTTTCCAGGATGACAACGCCTCCAGGTGTCACTGAATAGACTTATGAGGATGAAAATCATGTGAATCATCTGCTATGACCTTCACAGTCCCCAAATCTCAACCCAGTCAAACACTTGTGGGGGATTTTGGACCAATGTGTTCGTGCTCTTCACCGTCATCATGAAAACACAAAAATGGGGACATTTCTTTTGGAAGAATGGTGTTCACTCTCTCCAGCGGCGTTCCTGAGACTTGGAGAATCAATGCCAAGGTGCATTAAAGTTGTTATGGTGGCACTTAGTGGCCCGACACCTTACTGAGACACTTCATGTTGGTTTATCCTTTCATTGGTCACCTGTCTTAATCTTAGCAATACAATACACTGCCAAAAGTTATGAAGAAAAAATACATTTGCATTCCGTAAGCATAACAAGTCAAATTCTGTTTTTAAATAGTGTTTTTTTGGTACATAACTTCCTGTATGAGACAGCACCAGAAACCTGCTCCGTAACTACACCTGCCTGATTTATATTGTAGGTTAGATAGAACTCTTTAAATCAAAAACCAGTGGACAGGCAGTGAACTTGGAGCTCTTCGGATAGTTTCTCTCTTTGTCTGCCATCTACACCCTCCTCTGTGATTAAAATGACCTTAACCCTGTTCAGGACTTTCATGTTGCCATAAGTAGAACGATCCATTGGGTCCCATCCATCCATCCATCCATCCATACACCACTTATACTTAGGGCGAAGGCAGGGGACACCCTGGACAGGTCGCCAGTCCATCACAGGGTCCATTAGATCCCAAGAAAGAAAAAATACTTTATTTATCCCAGAAGGGAAATTCAATAATAATATGTGCAAAATATTTGTTAGTATTCATTATAGACTTTTACATTATGTTAAATACATTTTCTGATAAGTTGACATATTTTTGGTTCCAAATGCATGACAAATGTTCCTCTTTTTATATTTAAAAAGAATCTTCAAAAATAGAAAAACTATACCTGTCACTTAAACCAAATGTCTTGAGGTCCAAAAGACCCCAAAAGTCCTGAATGGTGTTAAAATGGCGACCAAAACTTGCTAGTGTCCTGTAATAAGACCCGATTCAAATTCATTAAATTGTGTTTGGTAACATTATAATGGATATAAACTTCAGAGACTTCCTTTTTTTTCTTTTTTTTTTTTGCTGAACTGTAGTTATAACTAATATACAGATTGTTGTTTTGCTTCTTATAGTCACGACTCATGACAGCTTTGAAGAAACAGCTGCAAACCAAGACGGACCAACATCTGTTAATTGACCAGATTAGTTCAGTAATGCCATGAAAAGTACCTGCAAGTATATATACTATAAAAGACAGTGTTCTGTTGTTGTCCGGAGGTAGTTGGTACACACAAAGGAGCCAAATTATTAAATGTAGAGGACAGGTATTGTAGTTTAAAATGATTATTACATCAAATCTGCAGCATTTCTGAAGTCTAGAATTAACTCATTAAATCCTACTGGAGTGAAGAAGATTCTTGTAGAGGTCACAGGTTACTAAGCCAACATAAGTTATAAATAAACCAGAGTTCAATGGTCTATTAAATGTTCTTAGTTGTGTTTTTACATGTTACAGACTTCAGTGTTTCTGCACAGGGTGTATTAATGTAATAAAATGTCTGCGGTTTGTTTTCTTGGTCGTACACTCTGTAAATTCAGACTTTTCCTCCGTCAAACTATCAAACATGAATCACTGCCTCGCTGCTTCCTGACGATTGTTCTAGCAAAAGAATATTGCACATAGTAAAGCGACATACACTGATTTACATTCTGCCAGGTTGTTAATTCACATAAAAGCGAAACACGCACGACAAAGCACAATCAAATGCGATGTAAATTAAAAAGGCCGACACGCAGAAGAGCGGTACAGTTCAAAATATTTATTTGAGGTACAAATATGATACCAAGGGAGGTCGAAGGGACAATTAAATGTTGTTCCACCATTTTAAATGAGTTGCCATAACAAGAGGCACAGAGCCAGCGAGCATAAAGCGAGGCTCTCTGCGCTCAGGGCTGCTGGAGCCGAGTTCCTCCCTGTGGAATCAGAGGAACACAGCGTGAGCACATCACAAATTATGCCGCATAGAAAGCAGGATCATGAAAAGTAACCAACAGGCTCGAGGTTATCCAGAAGGAAGTTTAGACTGAAGACACACCTCTCAGCTCCAGCAGGACGTCTCCTTCATAGCGAGCCAGTCCAACAGCGTGTCTCTGTTCGGTGTCCAGCTCTGCCCACTGCTCGTCGGTGACGGCCCACGCCTGCTCTGAGCTCAGCCACGACAACTGAACTGCACTAAACACCACCTGTCAGGCACACACCCAACACAAAAACTGTCTGTTTTATTGCCAGGAATGCAGGCGTAATATGGCAACTGTGTTTCCCTTGGCTTTACATTCCCCCCCCCATCATTTCCAAAGTATGCAGTAATTAAAAACTTAGAGGAAAAAAAAAAAATCCAAACATAATTTTCTCACATTTTGTATCGTATTGCGTGAAAAAGCTCTGCTCTGTGCACTTTTTATAATTAAATATCATAAAGAAGGCCACTGCAAAATAATATGCACCATTTAGGATTTAATTTATCTCATTAACTTTGGTTAAATTACAAGTTTCATTTTTAAAGTGGCTTACATGGCTTTTAGGAAAGTTGTACAAATCTCTTTTTATGATTGAATGATGATGTTGTTGTCGCCTTTTTTTCAGATTAGACATTTTCAGTTGCAAAAACAGAAGTGTCACATTAGCGAACACCAGATAGCTTTGCTTTATTTACACGTCAGGTCGTGACAGTGAGTCAGCGAGTGAACAACACCAGAAACTAAAGCAGCTCCATGAAATGTGGCTAAATTTGATCATTTATACTTGTGCTTTTCTAAATGGGATATATGAGAACATCTTCTGGGCTGTTGATACCTTTATGTTACAGCTGGAGAGACTGTAGTTGCTGAATATAGGATCTCAAAACGAAGCAATCTGAGCCGAAATGTGCAATTTCTGCAACAAACTGTATTCATTTCCCCTGAAGCTAAACAAGGCAGCGCTGAAACTGCAGACAAGTGTGAATAAAGAAGCTTAAAGTGACGAGTGAAACTCACTGCCATCTTTTTGGGTTGCATCAATGCAACAGCTTCGGGGGTGATTCCCTCCACTTGTTCTTGTAGCAGAGCTGACAGAACCAAGTCGGGCAGACCCGCTGGACAGAGAAAGACAAAATGCTGTAGTCAGATAATTAATGTTTCCTATTTCAAATCACAGGAAGAGTTTAGGAGAAAAAAAAAACAACTTTTCCTGTCTTACTTTCAAGCCTATACCCTGAGGGATGCTTTTAATTGTACCTATCCATCCAAGGAGTGTCAATTCGTTCTCCCACCATCTTTACTCTTTGAAAAAACAATTTAAAAAGTTGATCACAAAAAAAGTTTACACCCGCAGGGATATATTGTGCTGTACTGTACCTGCCAATGTCCCAATTTCAGTGAAAACTTCCGGTCCCCAAGCACTAACTGGACCAAAGGCCTCCGGTCTGGACAAACAGCTTGTCAACGCCTCCATCTGCTGTTCTGTGCATGGCAGGGACGTGTCCCGCAGGAACAGGACAGCCATACTGCAGTTGGAGGAAAACGATTTAGGACTTTATCCTCCTCAGAGGATATGCAAAATGTTTTCAGGAGGCTTTTTTTTTTTTTCTCGCTAAGAAATGTGCTTCAGCCTACTGTTGGTTGGCATCTGTTGGCAGCTTTACCTGACATCAATTAATTCCTTTCTGAACGCCAAAAGTAAGTCAGTCTGTAACGCTGCAGCAGGGAGCTTCATCGCTATTCCAACTTTTATGTGTATGTCCAACTTTGTTTACATTCGTCTCAGTTAATGTCTTGTGATTGTACTTCCCATATGCCTGTTTGGGTGATTGCTTCCTGGGATGTTTTGGGTAATTTGGCAATTTGCTTGCAATGCAGGCAGGAAATATTTTGAGCTCTAGGAGTTTCCTCTTTCTCTTGCTTTGAGAAATTAAATATCATGGCCAGAGCTAAGTGTCAGAGCAATCATTAAAGCAACAATTTGACCCACCTGAGGTTGTAAGGGCTCAATCTTTTGATTTCAGAGGGATGCAGACCACAGATCAGATGGCCAAAAGTCGCCAAATCAACAGCTGTTAACTGCTCCACTTTCAATTTGCGTTTGCGCATCACGCTTAAAATCACGGCTCGCGTCTGGAAAGTCAAACGGGAACATTTACCTCACATTTATAGACACGTTAAAGTACTCAAGGTGTGTCATTTCTTTGAGGCTGAAGTTAAAAATGAAGTTGACCTTCTTAGGGCTCCAGTCCGTCAGCGTGCCCAGATGAGCCAACACACCAGGATCGGTGAGGTTGGCCTCCTGCAGCTCCCTCTCTCCCATCTCGGTCACCACCGAGCCCAACGCCAGCAGCTGATCGGCTCTCAGCTCCCTCACCGGACCGAAGGACTGGATTGAATGAAGAACCGCAAACACAGATTATGCAGATATTAACTTTTCCACCCTGGAGATGCTTGCGCTGGGATCGGGCCACGTCTGCTATAAAAACACAACTGGCATCATTGTTCAGAGGTTGCCAAGTGCGGCGCATTCACTTAAGAGGCCACCTGGTAGTAATGTGACTGAAATGGATGCAGCTTTTTTCTTTGTTCTTCCCTTCTGTTGAATCAGATTTTGCAGTTGAGGGTTTTTTAGAACGGGTTCATTAATAGTGTCACTGACTCATTTTCACACGGCCGTTTACTCTCCAATTTACAGTCGTGATTTACCAGAAGTTTAAAAAAAAAATTTTGCTGAAGTTTTCTAAATCTCATGTCTGTGAAGATTCTCAGTCATCCAGGTCGTGGTTATTCTGGTAGATGTTCTACCTCTCATCCAAGAGGCTTCATCACTTCTGACTGACTAGTTCCAGATACTGATATCCTAAAGGAGCCATTAACACCTGAGTTTCACTTACAATAGGGCGGTTGTTACTCCTCCCCCATGTTTCTACATCTCATTGTGGCCCGGTGATTAGAATAACGAGACTTATTGTGTTTCAAAATTCTCCCAAGTGTGTCTTCTCCAGAGAGCCCAAGGCTGTTCATTTTGGCCTCACGGTGTTGCAGCTGTTACTGACTCAAATTGAGGATGTTTTCTCAGGTGGACGCCTCATAAAAAAAAAAAAAAGCTGCCTCAGGGGCTTAAAGAGTTAAAACAGCCAAGACATGACTGCGAGTTTATTGTTCCTTCCTTATCTTTAAACTTAAGCCCCGCAGCTGATTTTAAAAAAGATGAATTGTCGGACACCACTTGTCAACTTTCGATAAGAGATTGTGTACTGAGAGCTGTGTTTTGATGTTTACATACACCTGATGGGGACAAGATCTTGGCGAGGAGAGGCGAGAGAGAACAGCTGCACTACAAGGAGCACGAGGGGTGAGACATATTGTTCCTGACTGACCCAAATGGTGTCTGCATAATCCATCCGAGGGAACATGTTGTAGCTGTACTAGTGCGGGGAAGAACAATGTGTGCAGATGCCTTGAGGGTGAAAATAAAAAAATCATGAGCCCAAGCATTGTAGATGTGTGATCTTTTTGTAGGAGGAGTTTTTTTTTTTTAACTGACCTGCTTGAGTTTCACCCACAGTGACCGGCGCTGTTCAGAGCTCAGTGAAGAATCCCAACCAAAAACTTCCACGCACTTTTTCAGCTCCTCCTGTGACATACGGTTGAGCTGAGTGGGTGTCCAAGCTGAAGGAAACGTCCCTCTAATGTCTGCACAGCTTGGAACTGGCACTGCTCAAAAAAAGATGAGTGAGTTCTGTGAAATGATGCCAACAGAAATTTTCACAAAGAATTTTTGCTGGTCATATGGGGCATTACAGCGCCTATAAAAAAGAAGTGTTCAGCCCCGTTAGAAGTTTTCTCCTTTTATTGCGTTTCACCGTTGACTCATGGTCAATTTAATTTGGCATTCTGGCAAGAATTTGCAAAAAAAAAAATCCTCTTTCATGATAAAGTGAAAACAGATTTTTTAGCAAAGTAATGCCAATTAATTAAAAATATAAAATGTACAAAAAGGTGATTGCAGAAGTTTTCACCCCATTTAAACCTTTGCTAATTCAACACAAGTGCAGGCAGTTGGTGTTAGAAGTCAAACAGTTGGTGAAATGGAGCTTATTTGATTAAAATCTCAAAGGATTTTAGTATAAAGACACCTGTATCTGGAAGATCTAGTAACCAGAGAATCAGTGCAGTGGGCTATAAATACATCATAAAGACAAAAGAACACCAAGTAACTCTGCAAAAAAAGAAGAAAAAGGAAAAGCATATTAAAAAGCCATCAGGGGATGGACACAAGACATTTTCCAAGTCAATGAATGTCATCTGAAGTCCAGTGGAAATCCATCATTAGGAAATGGAAGTAATAGGGTTCGTGCTTAAATCTGCCTAGAGCAGGTGTAATTGAAAACTGAATGACTTTGCAAGAAAGAGACCAGTACTGGAGGCCACCAAGACTCCTAGGACTCCTACAAAGGAGTTACAAGCTGAGATGGGAGAGACTGCGCATACAATAACTGTTACCCAAGTTCAGTTCAAGCTTTACGGGAATGTGGCAAAGAGAAAGCCACCGTTAGGGGGAAAAAAAAAATGACTACAGTTCACCAGAAGGCATGTGGGAGACTCTGACGTCAATTGCAAGACGGTTATTTGGTCTGACGAGACCAAAATTGAGCGTTGCGCCCACCAGACTATGCTTGCCAGACACCAAACACTGCACATCATCAAAACGACACCATCCCCACTGTGAAGCATGGTGGTGGCAGCATCATGATATGAGGATGCTTCTCAACAGCGGCCCTGGAAACATAGACGGCAATATTAATGCAGCAAAGTGTAGAGAAATCCTGGAGAGCAATCTAATGCAGTCTGAAAGAGAACTTGGGAGAAGAGTTTTTTTTTTTTTTTTTTCCAACAAGACAATTACCCAAAGTGGTTTTAATGCTCTGGAGTGACTGAGTCAGAGCCCAGACCTCAGTCCAACTGAGAATCTGTGGCTGGACTTGAAAAGGGCTGTTCAATCACAATGGCTTTGCAACCTGACAGTTTTGTAAAGAAGAGGGAGGTAAAATTGCAGCGGCCAGATGTGCAAGTCTGATTGAGACCTATGTATGAAGGCTTGATGCTGTAAGTGTGCCCAAAAAAAGCAACGACTACATACTGACAGTAAGGGGCGAATACTTATGCAGTTACATTTTTTATTTTTATTTAGATGGCATTGCTTTGTAAAAATCTGTTTTAACATGAAAGAGTCTTTTTTTTTTTCTATTTTTGTCAACAACAAAAAAAGCCAAATTATATAAACCATGATTCAATGCAGAAAACCAATAAAAAGGGAAAAAATTTCAAGGAATCCTTTTTATAGGCGCTCTATTCACTGGGTAGTGTTGCACCGTGACTGTGAACAAACAGCTATTTTTCATGTCAAATGCATCAGATAGGACACACTTACACACTACAGTCATAGGAAACATTAACTGCACCTTTTGCCCTCCTGCTTCGTGCCTTGACAATCCCTCGAATCAGACTCTGGGTCTGCTGTCTGAGGCGATGCCGGTCCACACACCGAGTAACGCAGACGCCACCGACCACACTGTCCTCCCAGCGCCTCTGAGCCACCAGGACCTGCTCCACTATGTCTTTATTCAACACTGTCTGTGCAGTTAAAACACATATATTCACACATTCATGCTGGTCAGGATGTGTCTCAGAAAAGCAGTGACAGTAAAAATTAAATTAATGACAGGCATGGGCCAATGCTTTTGGATGCTTACCAACGGGATGGAGTTAATCTGCTTTGTTGAAAGAGCAAACACCAGCCTGCCCAAATGTTCAACGTCCCCAGTTTGCCATTTGGACGGCTCTCTGGCAAACAAATAAAAAAAAAAAAGCATAAATATCTTTATATTACTGCTGCTCTATGTGATCTATATATTACTGTAGCTACTCTTATTCATGCAAACAGATGTAGAAATCATTTTGTTGTGAAGAACTGTGCATTTCATAGGTCATCTCACTTGTGTGTGAATCTTAAGCTTTGCTGTAGTGCAGGATGCTAATGTCCATCTGTCTGTCACTCTGTCCACTAAGTCTGGTCAGGATGGAAACTTCTTATCTGTTATTCAAATTGCTATGATGTTATGCGCAGACATTCTTGATCCTCAGAGGATAATTCTCACTTACTTGGATGATCAAGTGACATTTGCACCAAAAGTTGCCTTAAAAACT